CGCGCACGCGCGCACCTGGAAGAAACCTAACCCTAGATATAGATATAGATATATAGATATAGATATAGATGATATAGATATATACATACACCCACACCTATATATTCCTCTATATATAGACATATGTACATAAACAGAAACTACTTAGAAAAGTATAATTTAAATCTACTTTTTCAGTTTGCAAATACAAAAGTAAATTCATGTGTTCTTTTTCATAGTCCCTGAGGTATGAAATTAGTATATTTATGTCCTTATTTCATTATTATCTTATCTAAACATATCAAAGACACTTCCTATCATCTGAGACAAAATTATTTAGAAAAAAAATTTCTTTTTGAATTTCAGCTTTACTATGTAAAACAGGCATGAGTAGGTGAATCCTGAAATTTGTTCTCGGTAGGTGGAAAATATTTATATTATACATATATATTTTTTGAAAATTCAAATGTACCATTACTGAGTGTTCTACAAGTGGTAAAAATAACTCAGACGGTAAGCAGGATTCCTGAGAAAGTTCACTCTGCTGAGAAGTGAAGAGAATTAAGAACATGTTGGTTCCAGGACTAACAGCGCCTCCGGCCTGACCAGCTGCCGGCCCCGGGCAAGGCATCCTGTCCCTGGGCCTCTGCCTTGTCACCCCGAGCATGAGACGCTGGTCTGGGTGAGACCAGCACGCCTCCTCCGGACCACGCTAGAGGCCAACGTAGCGCTGGGCCAGGTGAGCTGTGCCTCTGGTGACCGCTCTCTCACATAGCCCCAGAAAAGTCCTTAAAAAGCTCATCTTCATGTTAAACGGTAAAAACACGGAAATCATTTAAGGAAGAACTGTGCTGATTTTCTCAGGATTTGGGTAAGAATGAGCGTCCTGAATTTCTCCTGCTCCCTTTGATGCGCAAGTCCCCACTGCGGCCAAGTGCAAACTCCCTGCAAGTGTCACTGCTTTCAACGGATGGTTCCGTCATTCACCTGCGTCCTTGCCTCTCCTCACCTGAACCCAACACGTCCCGTCCCTATGCCTGCGCTTCCAAGTGGCGTCCTTCCTCCTCGGGCTCTGTCAGGACCGAGACCGCAGTTTCTCGCTCTTGCCTTGGCTCACCGCTTCCATTCACTTCTTTGGCCTTCTTCCCATTGTCCCTTTAGGACCCGGCCTTAAGTGTCCTCTATCAGGAAATCTCTAATTCTGCCCTCTGAGTCAGCCTGCGCCTGTTCGGCCACCACAGCCACTCCATCCATCTCTTCATTGGCGCCGACCTGACGTTAATGAGCTACTTTAGTGTCTCCCCAACCAGCCTCAGACCTCCTGGAGGGACCACGACCTAATCAGGGCCAGCGGGGTCAGTTATTCAGCAAATGTTTGCAGACAGAGTAAATGAACGAAGAGAGAGGAGTGGTCTTCTCTAACCCATGGGTAACAGTATTATAAGAATAAAATACCTTAATTCCACAGCGAGGAGAATCTCAGCCGAGGAAATAGAAGATTGCTCTTTTCATACCGTACTTCCATCTTGAATTATTTCTAATAATTCACGATTACGTTAGAAAAGGGTACATTTCCACGGCAGCTGCCAGCGTGCCCTGTGCTGGAACCTAAATGTGACCTCTCCCCCAGCACAAAA